AAAATTAGACTGAGTGAAATGCTCACTCACTCAGTGCCATCAAGTGAGAACTGACTCATAGCTGACCCTCCAGTAGGTTTTAGAGGCTATAAATGGCACAGGAGAAATCTTTCTTCTGAGGAGCCACCAGTGGATTGGAACCACCAAAGAAGGAATCACCTTTGGGTTACCAATACAATTCCCTATGGAATTCCTCACCTGAATGCCCTCATCAAACAAAAACTCTCTGTTTTAGAAGAATCTAGAAGAAATAATGCTGAGTGACATAATTTAGTCACAAAATGACAATTATGGTGTAAGACCATTACTATAAAAAGCTAAGGAGTGGTTTATATGCAGAATTAGTCTCAGAGGTTTGACAGGTATAGGATATGGGAGGAGAGAATAGTAAGAATTATCAAATTAATAAAGATATATAACTGGTATGAAGGGAAAAGCAATAACGGATTTATTAGACAACGTAATTAAGTACTTCTAATAATCAATGGCAATTAATGTCATAAAACAAAATGTCTGTGAATGACTGGAAGAGAAACCAACATGATTTGTAAACTTTCACTCAAGTAAAAAAATAAAAAGTAATAATGAGGAAAACATGAACTTTGTATTCATCTGAAAAGCTATTTGGCATAAAGAAGAAAGGATAAAAATTACAAACTATGGTTCTCTAATAGAAGTCACAGTTCTTTTGACACAGAAGATTTAACTTACACAAATGTGACTAATTCATAACATCTGAAGTGCATTCCTCCATAGGACTGATGACCATCTGGTTGACCTTGCTTTAGATCAATAGGCAAGTCAAATCTGTAAATCACTGCGTCCCAAATGCTGTCACTCCACTGTACGAATATGGGATAGAAGATGGGTGTGAGGGTGACCCTCTACTTCACACACCTTTAGGCTGACTAGGATACCTGGATTGCATGTAAGAGAAGACTGAGTGAATTCTTTCAAAGTTACATGCAGGAAGAGACCAATAGAGGACTAAGCAAAGTAATGGAGAGAGTTATGTTATGAGAGAAGAGAGGTAGAAAAATATAAAACAAGGAATACAAATGATTATAACTGATACAAATTTAAATTAGCTGAATTTCCTCAAGACAGTCATCCAACTGCTGATTATTGGTTGAGAAACAGTTCTAGGCATCCTGAAGCATGAAATAAATGCTAGAGGGTATATGTCAGTTTACAAGTATATATTCACCCGTGTCAGCACTGCACAAAGCCTGATTTTAAATCAAGACTAAACCACCTGAAAAGAAAAACCTGGTGACCAACCCACTGAGATACCCCATTCCACCAATGAGGAACTCTAAATAATGAATTTATAACAGATAATTCAAACTGTAAAATCTGTTAAAAAATAACTTTGAATGGCTGATGTCTGTATACCGTAGCAATAGATCTTGGCAATGAGCTTTTCCCAGATGCCTTTCCTTGATATAATTAAGTTAAAGAACTTTTAAATATTAATTTATAGATTTCAGATTCTTATTACACACTCAACAATGGACAAATAAAATTATAATTCACATCTCTGAGTGTTAGTGTTACATATAGTTCAATTGAACCCTACTCATAGCTGACCCTCCAGTCCGTTTTCAGAGGCAGTAAATTGCACAGGAGGAAACTGCCCCTCTTTCTTCTATGAAACATCTGGTAGTTTCAAACCACACACCTTTGTGTTGCCAGTGCAATTCCTAACACTAAGCTTCTTCTGGTAGCCCAGAAGTAAGGAGCCGCACTGCCAACCCCAAAGCATGCAGTTTATATCCACCACCTGCTTGGCTGAAGAAAAGATGGACAATCAACTCTTTCGAGATTTACTGTCAGTGAAAACCCACTAGAGGGTCAGCTATGTTTTGGTTCTGACTTGATGATATACAATAAAAAGCCACAGAGCTCCCAGTGTCTTGGATTGTTGTCGTTACATACCATCAAGTCAGAACTGACAGCTGGCCCTCTAGCAGGTTTCCAAAGGCAGTTAATCGCCCATCCTTAGATTGCCCATCCTTCTCCTGTGGAGCAGCTGGTGGCCTCGAACCATGTGCCTATGTGATTGCAGCTTAGCTTCTTGCCACTAGGCCACTAGAGCTCCCAATAGTAAACCCCTCTTAATAGAGTAATAATACTCTTGTTCTTGTTGTTGATTGCCGTCGAGTCAAGCACAACTCATAGCAAGTCTATAAACAAAAGACCTAATGCCTTTCCATAACTGTCGTCATTTCACCAAGTTCATAGAGCTCCAAGAGGCATGTGGTTTAGGAAGTGGATACCACTCCTGCTTCCAAACCTGTTTTATATCTGGGAACTCCACCAAACACTTTCCACATTGGGACATCATGGTGTTTGATACCCCAATGGCACAAAGTTCAGCATCATAGCAACCCAGGTTACTTCATACTGCATATTGACAAAGAGTGATGTACAAAGCTGAAGAGTCTTCCTCCAGATATAACAGCTCTTGTTTCACTTAGTGGTGGTTAAGTGTTGTCAAGTTGAGAGTAAGTTTCACACAAAAGATCTATTATCAAACCAATGGCTTACTCTTATTATGTTCCATTCTACATTGAGGTAAGTCTTATTCTACAAGAATCTGTTTTGTATTTAAGAGCATTTAAATACAAAACCATAGTAGTTTTAAAAAAGCTTATTCTGTTATTAATGGCTTACTGTATATAATGGCTTCCCTATCTAGTCATTTACTTTACCATGTGGATGGGTAAGAACATGCTAATAGAGTGTGTTAGCCTATCCACAAGGGGATTGGCTAGTCTCACCAGTCCACAAGGGGATTGGCTAGTCTTATCAATCCACAAGGGGATTGGTGAGTCTCGCCATTACTTTGAGCAGATCCAGCAGCAGAATTTGAAGATCTTCCCCAGCAGCAGCAAAGGACCAAGAGAATGTAGGATGTCCTTTGAAGTCAGAGATTCTTGTGCTGGCCAGCATCAGCCAGAGTAGGGCCTACAAGGGCAGCAGCCATAGCAGTCCCAGTGGAGAACCAGAGACCTGACATGAGACTGGAAGACCACTACACCACAGAACCAGAGCTAAGAGCTGAAGAGTCTTTGCCCAAGTTTGATGGACAACTGGGGTGGGGGGGGGTAGTGGAATGTGGCTATACATAATTGGCAGGACTGAGAGCTTTGTAACACTGGCCTAAAGCTGCAAGGCTCAAGACTCAGACTCCTACAAGTATACATTAGAAGCTGTCCTGACTGTATTCTGTTACTATTATAATCTTTTGACCTCCCCAATATGATTCGCTGTGTTCTGTGAGCTACTGCATCAATTTTTGGACCCAGTAAAGCAGTAAGATTGGTGTCGGGATGAATAAAAAATATGTAGGAACAATACAGTACTTGGCTGGACACATGGGAATTGGTTTTGTGTTGTTGATGGGGCCTGTTCCCCTTTGTGAAACTGGTGAAAGTCTGATATGGCCATCCTCACACAGCCCTTGTTCTTTATATACTCCTCATAACCTCTAGTCATTCTCATGCACAATATTCACCACCCTGCATTTTAGTCAAATTGAGTTCCGAAGACTACAATACTTACAGTCCTTCTGTAAAAGACAGATTAAAATTATCCATTCAAATACAAAGTTGGTGATCTGCTCTGTTTTTACTATTTACATAAAATATAATGGTTGTTATTATACCACAATAATTTATGAATCCATCTCCCTATGCGCTGGGAGAAATATCAGAAAAAGAGGGGAAACTATACTGTTCATTACTGTTTTTTCTTGTTTACTTGATAATTTGTTTCATAGCTCTCATCTTAGTGGAAAGGTAAAAATAGGCTACAAAATGGAATTAAGTAATTAAGAAAGGAGACACCAAAAGTCTCCTTTTCTTCACAACTTAACTGGACAATCATGAGCTTTAATGGGAATGCCTGGCGTGAAGGTTAAGGAAGGATTTAAAAGCTCACACACACTTTAAGTTCTAAATATGGCTCCTTCAGTACTTATTATGACCTTGGGGGGAAGAGCACGAGGTGACTTTAAAAGAAAGAAAGAAAAAAGAGAGTCATTTGAGTGATAAGTGTCAGTCATACACTGCTGTTTGAAATTCAAGATAACAGCGCCTTAGATACGGTCTGCTCAAGAAAGGCATGAGAAATATACATAGTGATACTGAGGATTAAGCAAAGGCAGAGTTGAAAGAAAGTATGAACGGCCCTGACTGGTAGACCGGTGTTTCTCATCACTTTTTCAATTGTCCAATTAGTATAGGTTCTTTCACTGAACAAAGGTGTCATCTGGTAAGTGGGTTAAACTATATAAAGGTTCTTGCATACATCTGGCAAACCATTTCCTCAGAGGACCCTCACACCTTTTATGTTTGTGAAAATCTGAAACCACACAGATTTTCCTAAGCTTCTAAAGAGAATATGTGCATACAACAGCAAACGATAACATATTTCCAATAATTCTTTTAGTCCCTTTCCAATTAGAGAATTAGGCCAACCTCTGGGAACCCTTGTGGAAATGGCAGACAGACATATCATGAGAATAACATACGGAGTGACCAGTTTTGAAGCACATCTCTAAATTTCATTGAATAATTTTTCAGCAATTAAGAGTTTCTTCTGTTCCTGAGGATTAGCACATACATTACAGAGGGTACTTCTCAACAAAACCAGTTAATAACATAGAGATTAAACCTCATAAAAATGCATGCCCACACACACCTCATTCTCACAATTATTAAAGACAGAGAAGAAACTTTAGAATAAAAGAACACCCTACAGTTCAAACATTTTCATAACATTTTCTGGAATGCAACAAAGGACTTTCACTTATTAATAATTTCAAACACTGCAGGTGACTCAATGGTACATAATAATAACATACAATCCAACAAGCCATCTGGCAAATATTTTCATTAGATAGATAATATTTAGTATTACTATTATTTTCTCATTATTTTTAAAAGGAAAAATTAAGTAACAATTTTACTTATTGTGCTTATCAACTTTCTTACCATCAAACGTTAAATAAACTCTTGCTTGAGGCTGGGAAGATCCTTTCACACAGCTATAGTAAGCAAATACTCCTACCAACACGCGAATTGCCCACAATGCCATTTCTTCAGATTTGCTAGTTACTATCCAAGGGAAAACACCTTTAAAAAAAGAGAGAAAAATTTCTGTTATATCTCATTGTAAGAAACTGTAATCTAGGCAGCTCCCTGTAGTTGCAAAAGATGCAGCTGAACTTTTACAGCAATGCAAACAGTAGGAGGTGCTGTTACTTTGCTTCTCAGATGGGAAAATTTGGATTTGAGTTTTTTGCGTCTGAAAGTCTCTGGACTAAGAAAAGGTGTTTCATCTTCCAGTAAAATTCATCTTCCAGTAAAATAATGTTAATAGCAAAGCAGCACAAAGCATTAAGTAAAAAGTTACTGATCTCCAAAAAGTTGTACTAAATAAAAAAATGGCTTTGCTGTGTTACAAATAGATTACTAGTAGGTGAAAATTCCTCATGCCCCCCATAAATATAGCAGGAGCAGGGGAATTCCACATGAACATGTATATGTATCCATTCACACACATGTTAATTAGTGCTTTTGGACTGTCTCTGAAGTGATGTTTCTATACATAAATCTATGCCCAATCTAGGATCCTACAATCACTCTAATCAGTTATCTGCCAATTTATACAGATGACCATGCAGCTGTGAATGATGCTGATGAGGTAACCATGGAGTCCTGCCAGATCCAATCCAATGAGCTAGCAGTGAGCACTCCAGTGAACTGTGAAACCACCAATGCATATTTGTAATACATCAACTGGTAAGTGGGCTGTCAAAATTCCAAAAGATAAATCAGAGAGACAAGTATTAATGCTGGAAATTGTAGCTATAAAATGGATACATGCTATTAACTCATCTCCGAATAGCAAGGAAGCCCAGGTAATGTGTCTGCAGGAGCTCTAGTGGCCAACATATGAAAAACAAGCTCAGTCATAAAACGGAATCCCATCCTGTTAAGTCTAGCATAATCACAAAGTAGACAGAATAACCTGACAGAGTTGAACTCAAGACACTACGGCAGCTTACAGCAAATGCTGATTCTTCAATGCCACGACTTTTAACATTAAAAATTTCCCACCCATTTTATTCAATAAAGGCATAAATCTAAACACTGGAAAGTATGTTTCACTGCTACTTAAAAATAAAAAAAGAAGAAGTAAACTATGTCATTTTTAACAAAAGGTGTAAGATGATCCCTAGAGGGTGCATGTGCTCTGAGTTGGAACGGCCATCATCTAAGTCCTTTCCGCACACAGTTGGAGGGAGCCTCAAGGAGATGGTCATTTTCAAAAGGAACTGTTCTCTCCTGCTTCCACAACCTCTTTACCCTGTCATCCTTAAATTAACTTAGTAGAAAATTGATTTTATGGATGACTTTCCCTTAGCAATTTGCTCCTTTGTTTTGCTGACTTTATTAGTGAGATAGACAGATAGACACAAAACTAAAAAAAGCACAATCTTTATTTTATTTAGCAAACTGATAATATCCTCATATTTCACATACTGCTATTATTGACATCACCACTGATACACGTCTCTCCTAAAGAAAACGATGATACAAATTGGAAAGGATAACAATTGGGGAAGAACTGACAGGTTAAAGGGAATGAGGATGCAAACCTTCTGATTTCAAGCTTCCTCAGGGTTGTGCAGTGAGACACCAAAAGCCTGTCTCGCACATGTCCCACCCCCACTCAAACGTCTTACAACTTCTTTCCTTTAACTCAATTTTATACAAGCTGTTTGCTGTTTCCCCTTCTACAGATCCCAAACTATTCACACGCAACCCAAATAATAACTGAAATTACAAAATGCTGTTTCAGGCTTTCTGCAACAATTTTGCCCCAGAAGACAGTGTAAGGCTCAATTGGAAACTCTCCGCAGGTGTCACAGCTTAAAGCAACAACTCAAGCCCGGCTCTCAGCAAGACAAACAGTTCCCTGACCAGCCGCATGCGCTATTACAATAACGTCCAGACCGGAGCACCTAGAACTGTGAAAAGTCAAAACCCAATACCCCCTAAAAAGTTCTGTTTTTGTTACATGAAAAGAACACCTCCAGCTTACCGGAGTTGGAAGGAGTCAGCACGGAAAACTCATCAGTTAGTTCCCGGTTTAGATCGGCCTGTGAATCAAATCCCTTTCCCAGAAGACTAATTTCTAGAACGTCCCAGCAGAGGAATTCCTCCTGCCAGGTCCTCTGAGTTTCTGGGGAAAGGAATCCCGGCGCGGCCGTGCCACGGCACCCCTGGCCCGCGTCGCTCAACCCAGCACCTCGGAGTGAATGGAAAGTGGCCCAGCGCGGGGGGCGAGCGCTCGGTGTCCGGTTACAGCGCGGGGCGCGCGGCTCGGGCTGCCCGGCGCGCCGCCCAGACCGCTCGCATCAGCGGCTCAGCAGACGGCGGCGGCGACACGGGCGAGGCCCCACCCAGAGCACGCCCGCCGGGGAGCGGGGAGCGGGGTGCGGGGCGCCGAGCCGGCTGCTGGGCGCTGCGGGGACGCGCAGGGGGAGCCCCGGCAGCCGCTCACCGCCGCGGGCCTCGCTGCGCGCACGGGGGTGGGACACTTGCGGCGCGCGCTGCAAGGGGTTTGTTTGTAACCAGCCGCTCTTGGAAGGCGCACCGGCTTTGCTTGGCCTTAAATATCAAAGTGCAAAGCAGTTTTGCCAGGGAGCAATCACTGCATCCTTTTAAGGCAAAGGGATAGGTTTTTTACCAAAGTCCTGAGCCGAGTTCTTGTTCTCTGCATCTAGTTTACTCAATTCGGTCGAGATAAGCCAGCAACCTTGTCACAAGTGCAGCCCTTTAATAGGCATGGCTTCCTATTGCGTTTCCTTAATGTCCTGAAGGGAGTAATTTTGTTGACCTTCCCACATTGACTCATATCCAGTATGCTTCCTTCAGGATACCCCCAAAGCACAATTACAAGAAATTTATTTCACAATTTTGTGGAAGGCTGTTCTGAATTATGCCAAGGGATAGACGTCTATAAACTGGGACATCAAGGCTATATTCCCGGCTCTCTTCGCAGGTAAAATTGTTAAACTTTGGAACTGACTTTGAAGTTTAAGTGAAAATGACTTCTCCGGCCGTACCACATGCACCAGATGCTTTAACTTGGGGAGAAGTGAACTTCGACACTAATAAAACAAGCAGGCACTTGCTTAAAATTGCTACAGGCTACAGGCCAGCAGAGGTCGCTATACAGAGGGAAGTCCAGGGAACTGTCACCACCTTACTTCTTTTCATTTTTCTTCATAAAACAATGCCAGCTCATTGATTGAATTCTTATGAACCGTCACATAGAGAACACCGTCAGCAGTGCACAAGCCTTGCTCCGGTGGGACAATTGAATTAATCTCAGACAGCAGGAAGTGAAGAGGCGATTAAAACACTTCATGTGTCTGGGCGCCACAGTAGCCATAAGTATGCCTTTGACTTTGTTGCATAGCTAAGAAATGAAGAGATCAAGCCAAAGAACGATTTAAGAGCTCAACAGTGATATAATATTTCAGAGCCAAATTGTCTCCAAATCCATTTATGAGAGAAATATCCAGTTTAACAGTTACAGTATTTTTTTTTAAAAAAGCAGAACCATTTAAACTAATTTGTGCATGATTGGTGCAACAAAAATTTAAACAGCTCCTTGACATGAGTTTGTAATAATGGATTTAACCCACAAAGCCTGTGGCAGTGTTAAAAACCAGATGTAAATGTGAGTAAGCAGTGCACACACTTGCCCGAAATGCTTCTGAAACTGATTAAGGTCCAGGTTCTATTACTGACCAAATATCACGTTTCTGCTGGCATCTTGAGTCAGCATTTATACATTAGGGAGGGAAGAGAAAGAATATTGGAAAGAGTAATTGATGGCAATAACAATGAATTACTTATTAGAAATCAATTCATAAAGTCTAATATGTCTCTACATTTTATAGCTAAGTTTTAAAGAGCCAAGATAATGGAATGCAAGGTGAAACGAATGTCAAATCATGTACTTATGGGAGAGTTTAGGACCAAATTCAATTCCCAAAGCCTGAAGAATTACCTTAATCCCTCACACATACTCACAAGGCTTTGGAGACTATGACAAATAGCTTAGATTTAATCACAGTCTGTGAGACTTGGGCCCAGATTCCCCATTATCTTGCCTGAATAAACCCTCTTTTCAATGGACTTCTGAGGTTTCGTGATATTTACTTAATACTGAGACATTTACCATCGGCCACACCTCAAAATGAATCATAAAAAGCACTATTACACATTAGCTGAGACAGAGTCAAGCACAAGGACACAATGACTGCTCATGTTTGGCTGAAACTGTTTAAGAGGTCCCTTTAATAAAATTTATCCCTACTTTTCCCTTCCTCAGATTTCTTGGGTGTTTAGAAGTTCCTTAACAAATATCATTTCTATGAGTAAGGTAGTGTTCCTGGGCTTGCAAATCATTAATGCATCTGGATATTAACTGAAAGTTTGGCAGTTCACGTCTAACCAGAAACCCCTTGAAAGATAAGTCTAGATTTATTTCTTTAAAAACCAACTGTTGAAAACTCTATGAAGTACACTTCTTCCTTGGCACTTTTAGAGTACTACTGGTCAGGGTCAACTCATTATTAACTGGTTTCGTGTAAGAACTGTTGGTGACACAGCATCAATCTTCCAGTCTCTAGTCTTGTTTCTATCCTAGGGAGCTCTGGTGGCTTAGTATTAATGAGCTGCTACGCCAACCCAAAAGTAGGCAGTTCAAATCCTGCATTTTTTCTGCAGGAGATAACTGGGCAATTTTTTTTCTGCCTGTAAGATTTACAGTCTCTGAAAACCCACTATGATCAGCTATGAGTTAATTCCTACCTGATGGCAACATCTCTGTCCTTACAGGCAGGAAACAACTTAAGTATAATGAGAATGTTGGTTGACTTGTGAGGTGGCATCAAATTGACTACAACTCATAGTGATCTTATGAACAACAGATCTGAGCCTGGCCCTGTCCTGTGCCATCCTCAGGTCCTGATCAAGGCTCACTGAGGGTCTTCCTCTCTTTTGCTGACCTTGACCAGCATGATGTCTCTCTCTAAGGACTGGTTCTTTCTGAAAATGTACCCAAAGTAAATGAGATGACATTTCCCTGTCCTTGCCTCTAAGAAGCACCCTGATTGTACTTCCTTCAAAACAGATTGGTTTGTTCTTTAGGAAGTCTATGGTCTCTTTAATACTTTTTGCCAATACCACAGTTCAAAGACACTGATTCTTCTTCTTTCATCTTTCCTTATTGTCTAACTTTAGGCAGCATAGGAAGCAATTGGAAATGCCATGGATTAGGCCAGGTGCATCTTAGTAAACTAACATCCTGTCCCTTTAGAACTTTGGGAAGTATCTTGAGAGACAATTTCCCAAAAGCAATACATCTTTTGATTTTTTTTTTGACTGCTGCTATAATGGGTGTTGATTGTAAATTCAAGTACAATTAAATCATTTACAACTTTCAAAAGCAGTTGTCATGGAATCCCTACTGACCATAGATGTGTCACAGAGGAATGGTGGTCCATTGCTGTTTCAACCAATGATTTTATCAGGAGAGAGTAAGACCTTTCCTCTGAGGTTTTTCTGAATTGATCTGACCACCAATCTTTCAGTTACTAACTGATTCTTTCATTCTTTGTGCTACCCAGAAACTCCTAGTAAAGGATAGGAAAGAACACGGAATAGACCTATAGCAGTAATGGCATAACTAAAATGAAAAGACACTTAATCATAAAGTTTAAGGTAATTCAAGTGTGGTCTTCAGAAAAGCATCCAATTTAAAATATTTAATAAGCATGGCCATTAGAAACAGTGCTACATGATATGTCTTGTCATTGAATTGCTGAATGAAGAGGCTGTATCTTAATATTTTCTTTTCTGAAGGTCCTGGAAGGTACTACATTTAAATTGGTCCACTGATTTAAAGTAAAGTGTATAGTTTTCCTTTATGAATGTTTGATCCTAGAAATTTTATTTCTTCTATGTCAAAAATAGGGATTTTGATTTTGATTTGATTTTTGCGTAATCACATGGATAATATGTGTGACTAATTAAAGAACGGTGACCCTTCAGATATTGAGACCTGTCTTTCTATTTGTCACACTAATGCATTTTTCATGGACTTACATTCAATCTGCTCAGGTGGCGTGGCCCAAAGGGAGTCACACTGTCAAAAGTGGCACCTCTCTGGCAGTCTTAACTTCCAGTTGCTCTGAAGGAGAAAGATGCAAAATCTCTTTTTGTATGATTTTACAGTCTCAAAAAACTCAGTGGGAGGGTCAGCTATGAGTCAGTTCCAACCCAACGGCAGTGTGTAGTAAGTACATATAGTATATAGATAGAACTGGCAAGCACTTAGCATATTATCTGGACTGTAGTCTACATGGAACTATTATTTTTAAAAATATAACGAAAAACAACCACAAAGGTTTGCCCAAGTGGCACAGAGAGTAGATATTGGAAGAGAACGAGGATTCAACTCAGACATGACTTAACTCTCTTACCTCATGTGCAGTGTGATCCCAAGCATTTGCTACACTAATTTTCTTTTCTTTCTTTGCTCTCCTCTCCTGACTTGCTCTGCTTTCCTGACACTTCTTTCTCCCCCATTCTACAAGCTTTGTCAGCCTCCCTTTAGATTTCCTAAATCATATCTTTCAAAGTCCATTCTTTAAATGATTATTTACTTTACTTACATCGGCCCTCTGTAGGATTTCTGGCAGTAAACAAAAGAATCTAAAGAGAGAAATTGTCTGGAAAGAAATTTTCTTTTGCATATTTTGTAATTTACACCAGGATCGATGGTGAAGAGCTTGAGATTGTTAACAACTTTAGTTTGCTTGGCTCAATGGTCAACACTCTCAGCACCAGCAGCCAAGAAATAAAAAAATGTATTGCTATGGGAAAGTCTGCTGTTAGGGACCTCTCCAAAGTACTGAAGAGCAATGGTGTCACTCTGGAGACTAAGGTGTGTCTGATACAGGCTATGGTCTTTGCAATCTCTCATTATGCATCAGAGAGTTGGACAATGACTAGAGAGGATAGAAGGAGAATTGATGCCTTCGAGCTGTGGTGCTGGAGAAGAGTATTGAATATACCATGGACTGCCAAGAAAACAAACAGATTCAACCTGGAGAAGGTTAAACCAAGCTGCTCTTTGGAGGCAAGGATTCTGGAGCTTCGTCTGACATACTTTGGGCATGTTGTAAGGAAGGACAGGTCCTTGAAGAGAGACATCATGCTTGGGAGGGTGGAGGGACAGCGCAGGAGGGGACTATGAGGTGGATTGATTCAGTGACTGGGCTAATCGTGATGGGTGTGTCAGAGGCAGTGAGATTGGCACAGCATAGA